TAAAGTTTAATAAATGTGTTCGTTAAACAGATTATTTCTGTATGTGTAGTCTTAGGTGCTTTGTTTCAACGTTTCTGTGTTTAAGTTTCTGTAAATGATGATCAACCACCAAGTTTATCCATAAAATACAAAGGATAAATAGTGGGGTCTGAGAGGCCCCCTTACAGGCTTCTAGGGAAATCGGACCATCCAGAAGACTAGGGTTAAGTAGGTTGCTACAAAGGGATGGCATCGCCGATCGGCGACGCGTGGAATTTATGGTAGAAATTAGAAACCACCGATCAGCGCCGCGAGAATGAAAAGTGTTAATACCGAAGGTCCCGCCTCTTCGATACACTAAAAGTGTTGATAGGGGCATTAAACCTCTAACATTTCACAATTTCATACCACACAAAGAAGTATTCCAGCAGTTTGTTCAGTAATCTAAAAAAAAGAAACTGAAATACGTGAAACGCTCCATCGAGCAAAGAATAATAATGGGGCTTTTGTTTTGCAAATATCGTGGCCCTATGCAATTGTTGCAAATGGAAATAAATGGGCTGACTTATTTCGAACAACACTGTTGGACTAAAAAAATCATGCCAAATTCTCGATTAAAAGCCAGCTAATGATGAAACAAACTCAAAAGCATCCAGCCTTGGCTCAAAAAACATTCAGATGTCACAAAATATTGCTAAAAATAAGAGCAAGCAGCGTTAAATAACACCAAACGGAAAAACAACAGATTCGTTCCTGCACTGAAAACATATTCGGGAAACGACAAATGAGTAAATGTTTCTATTTCTATGCCACAAAAAATTATTTTCAAGTTTACAGCAAGGCCCATCTAAAAAAGCAGCAAATAGTAAAACAAACTAGCACATAAAAAACACTGCAATCCTTCTGTCCATGCTGCATTAAATACCTTCCCAGAGACAGGCACTGGCAGTCTACTGTTGGGCTGGCTGGTAACAATCCAAGGTACTCTGGCACTCTGTGGAGGAAAGCCCACTTTAATTTGTTGAAACTTTGAAGAGATCAAGGGAAAGCAGTTTTTTAAAAGAAAATGCAGAACATGAAAAAGGAAACGATTTTTTGTTACGATGAAATAATAAGTACATTGCTTTATTTTTAGATTTTACGGCACTCGTAAAATCTGCATAAGGTCATATGAGCGCCAACGGGTGGAAGTCTATAGAGAAGTCCAAACGGGGAATCTGGCTTACTCTGCTCACCTCTCTAGCCTCAACAGCACAAAGTCTGCTTCGACTATCAAGGCACCCAGAAAATAGCAGTTCACAAGAGAGTGACAAACATACAAAAGAAGTAGAGGAAAAATGACAATAGTCGTAAGGAGTTACCGTAGACTCTACTTAGTGTAGTAGATAGACTAGCCTGGTAGAAACAAATTTTTAGCTAGCACCAAAGGGGTGCTGCGAAGAGCAGTTTCATGCACCTTTCTTCTGGTGCGGGAAGAATGATGCCTAGATTTCTGTATGTGTGAATGTATGTATGTAGTATAGGGTTTTACGGCGCTCGCAACTGCTAAGGTCGTATGAGCGCGCGAAACACAAGTTGTTTACTTTCGCAAAAGTTCACTCCACGACTGGTCAACTAATTGACTTTAAAATGCTAAAATGTTAAAATATTAAAATTTAGTGTAAATATATTTGTGATTTAAAACAACTTTTATAGGTAACAATAAAAATTTTAAAGTACGTTTTCATTTTTCATTTTACAACTTGCCATAAAGGCCAATGGCCTTTATAAAATTCAAAATTCTGCTGGGAACAAATATAAGCGTAACCAATACGGACCGAATTATTTAAAAGCATCCATAGACATTTGCACCTGAGCAAGCACAATAACGTCTCAATTTCCCAATTGGCACAAAACTGCGTCTATTATTTATGAAAACAATTTTAAGACACTCACCACATCTTTCAGTGTTAATTGGTTTTCCTAAAGAGGATAAAACTAGGGATACAAAGGTCTGTCCATAGAACATGTATAGAGAAAAGTATAAACTTACATGACTGCCCCTGGAGTTAGCAATTTTCATGCAATTATCTCCACAGCAAGAAACTTCATGCTCCATAAAAGCCTGGACTTCAACAGTTTTATCAGTACAACTCCCACGGTTGGTAGATCTTGAAGGAGTCCTCTGTGAGCTGTCATTCATTTTCCAGTCTAGACGACAAGAGGACATTGTACAGCAATTTCATTATTATTGCTAGTATTCAGGCAAGGAAGAGATATCAATCTAGATTCTTCAAGAACACCTGTTTGCATTCTTCAAAGATGAACATAAACAGCATACAGCTTCCAAAAATAATTCTCAAATACATGTATTGGCGAAAAGGGAGAATTTTGTCTTGGTAAGCGTTTTACAGCCTTCGCAACTGCATAAGGTTAAGTTTTTTATATGACTAGGCGGAATTCAGTTACGTTGATTTTTACATTACATCAGACCACTGCTTGCTTGGTTTTACTTTGCATACATGGATGATATATATACAGTATAATCCACTTATATCGACAGCCGATGTATCGACATTTTGACATAAAGGACACATTTTCCAACTGCGCAATTTTTCCTTCAATATCTTCACTAAACAATTTCTCTTATATAGACTTCTTTCGGCACATTCTGCTTTATCGACATGTTTCCTGGGTACCTGGCGAAGCCCACAAACATAAATGGGGATAACAGCCACACTAATGATCAACGCAATTAGTTCTTCATCAAGTCCGCACACCCGCCAAGTAGCCTATTCGGCACACCAAGCTTTAGTAGGCCATGTCTTGTAGGGCCTACATTGTGCAGTAGGCTATCCAACACAGTACAGTGCCTCACAGACGAGAGCGTCTCGCGCGCTGGGCAACACCTCCCTACCCCCACTCCCGATCGCTCACTCCCCTTCCCCATCCCATTCCCAGTCTGTCACAGGCAAGTACCACCGTCAGCGAGTCAGTGCCTCGCCTTTCCATTTTCCCCAGCAAGCGGCCGTAAACAGGCTCTACTAGGATGCTACAACAAAGTTTGCGCTGGTGTAGTGTGCGCCTCGCGGTGCTCGGTCTTTGGTACCGTAACTCCAACCTCCCCCCC